TTTGGTTCCCATGCACCCTCCCATCAACTGACCGGGTGCTGACCTCCTCAGTTGCTGGCACTAGAGTGAACTCTGGTTCAAAACGTCGCTGAGTTCACAGTGACTGAGTGTCCATCAGATAACAACCTTGGCAAAGCTACGGGGCCCTGCAGCGGACATAATTAGGCCAGTCTGTTTGTGTCCCATTAATTTTCTGCCACATAGCTTCACCCCATTCTCTGCCTGTCAATGAAGGCGGTCAGGTGGAGGGTGGAAATGCCTGGCGACCTAAGCTGTGACCTCAGCAGTGGCCTCAGCAGTGGCCTCAGCAGTGGCCTCAGCAATGACCCCAGGGACGACATTGTCAGTTATGTCTATAATGAGGTCGTTATATGCTGATTGTCATCAGTGTGCTATAAATACCATGAATACTGCCACTAATACTAATGCAGCAATACTGGGAGTATCCAGGGTATGACAATTGTTGAGGGCTCATTCTGGGTCACCTTTGAGATATCCATAAAGTATGGATCATATCTTTAACTGAGGCTTATGGGAATCTTTTTTGGGGTTATTGGACAATAAATCAAAGGTCTTAGATAAAACATTACTTACTTAAGTTCCCAACTTACTTAAGTTCCCAAACCAAAGGCTCTTTAAACTTCCCCACTCTATTACACTAAAAGTGAATTTAATTATGGCTCTTGACAGTATAAAGAGAAGGATTTTGACTCTGCTCTTGTAAAATTAATTTACTTATGTCCAGTATGAGTTTTTTTCAAACACTGTTTCAGTCAAAATGAATAGACGGCCAATCTGTATCCTGCACTGAATTATTTTAACAATATGTTTATGTGCTGAAATGGATACTCATTGCTGAAAGTTTTCAAAAAAATGTCAAACATCCTTTTTACATTACCATTTTAAATTGTACTGCAATTTTGTTCTTAATTGTTTGAATGCTGTCCCCCTGTTTGATTGTCAATATTCTTATCAATTACACTCACGTGTTGTGCCAACAAATGTTATGCTCGTCTGGACCCTGAAACAAAATTCTAAAAACAGGATGTAACAGCACAGTAATATAACCATCATTAAAAAGTAAAGATCCAATCCACAGCCGAACAGTCACTTACAGATTTAGGGTGCAATAGTTGGCTTAAAATGAAAGTGCAAGGTTTGTATTGCAGAGGGGACAGAATGTTTTTGACACAATTTGTCCCAGGCGCCATTGACTCTTAGCGCCTCCCAGAGGGTAATGGCTGGATGTGATCACTGTGTGTGGGCTAATCACAATCACTACGTCCATGTTATGGTTCAGACCACACTGGTGTAGCAGTAAAGCACGTGTAAATCTAAAAGCCAAGATCATGAAGTAAATTTCTTAAATTCATTTGGTTCCCAAATAAAGACACTGGAAATAAAACAGCTTTGAAATGCCAAATAAGTGAATTTTAGACATGTGATTTAAAAAGCAATTAATCATGGCAAAATATTGAGACTTAACGATTTATCACAATCCTTAAACAGACCAATTTTATTCTCTATCTTTTTACAGTTTGTTTTTTAAATGAGAATTTTATTAGTGAAAGTAAAATTCAAAACAATTAGATGACCTGCGCGGAATCCCTTTAAGGGTTTTGAAAGATTTGTTGTCTTACCTGCTTTTCACTGGTTGTTTGAGGATACTTCAAAATCTTGCAGTGAGGCTGACAAGAGGTTTTGTCTGACTTTTGAACTGATCCAAATATTTGCTGGTATTTGACAATTTAATAGCAAGTTATGCAGATGTGAATGTTAAGGAAATAGAATAAGGAAGTCATGGATAAGTGGTTGTTATTAAAGTATGAATATACTTTTTTGGTTTGCGCATGAATTCAACAATAACTCTGTGAGTTTTAGCAGCAGACTTCCTGTTCACTGTAGTACTTTACTTTGAAATTCTAGAGAAACCCTTCCATAAGTGAATTGCCTGTATGTAGCTTTGCTCGGATTTGAGTTGGTTACTGTTAACCCAGTCCCAAACTACTCCAGTTCTCAGGGTCATGGGTTGGGATGTTAATAACCATGGCCCACTAGTTGTTAAAGAGGGTCAATGTTGATGTCAAGTCATTATAAAAAATCCAAAGGTTTGTTGGGTGAAAGTGGTGACTCCAGTTGTTGCTGTTTGTTTTAAGGGCATACATTAACATCATGATCAACAGATCTGCTGCTCTTTATGTGCACTGGTAAGGATCCGAAAAGGATGTTGGCCAGAGTCTGGTATGCAAGGAAAATGATCCCACCAGGTTTCACATAATGTGTTTGAAGTCTATCTATCTAGAAATGGCATCACTAGATGCGAAAACTACAAATTGATTGCATTTTTTTATTTTTTTATGTATATGTCACTTCAGGAGCCAAACATCTTCAAAACATTTCTTAAGAGTGTATAATGTAGTCGATATTGTCTGTGTCATTGAGATAAACATATTTTTCACAACCTAACATATTATTTTGAATTTTAAACCTTTGCTAACTTGTGGGTCTTCTCTAGTGCAGTGGTTCTCAACTGGTGGGTCGGGACCCAAAAGTGGGTCAGGCAGCTGTTTTCATTGGGTCACGAATATTGTCTGGGAAAACAAAAATGTGTCAAAATGCGATGAAGCACATGTTTGTTTTGTTCTGTTTCTTTGTCTGTCACATGTTTTGTACCGCCTGAGATCCAAACTCTCCAACTTTTTCATTCAGTAAATCTGATTGGTGGAAAAATATCAGTAATTTGGGTCAGGATTTTCACGAAGGAGTTGGTGGTGGGTCCTGAGACTAGACCAGTTGAGAACCACTGCTCTAGTGTAAAAAGTGATTAGTTACAGACTGGATCTTATTGTAAAACTAAGCTCAATTTACCTGCATGAAACTCAAATAGTTATGAAGTATTAAGACAGGATTTGATGTTCTAATATGAATATTAAATAAAAAGTAAAATATATCCTTGTTAAAAGAAAGCTATGACACAATACTTGAACAACAACTCATAATGACAACTGTGTTTATCATCTTCTAGTTTACTCTTTACATCAACTGTACAACAGCTACATCGGACACACTGTTTACATACATACAAACATACACAACGCAACAACTGGACAAGTATATACAGACTCCTGAAAGCGGAGAAAGTGCTATCTCCTTCCACAAATCCATCCATCCATACACAAGATTTCACAGCGCTTCTGTTAGAGCTTCAAGACCAATAACAGTCCTAGAATTAGACCATTAAAACAAGAATAATAAAACAATAGTAATAATAATAATTAAAGAGTTATTTTTTAATATTTGCTGCTCTAAATAATAAATGGTTTCTATGCCCTAGCAGTAAAACTTAAAAGATACCTTTACATTACAGGTTAGTGTCTCTATCTAGTCATAATAACTGCACAAGTGTTTAAGATAGAGGAAATGGTCAACAGAAATGATACACCTGCATTTTAAATACAGCTTATTCATAATGCTACTTCATTTGATACACACATAATAGCACTGTATATATTACATTCATATCTAAAAAAAAGAAAAACATTTTGAATGGTTTTGATCTTGATGTAAGGATAGTTCCTGGTTTGAGGACTTATGTGTCAAAATCAAGTGCAAGTTCCATAAGCTTAATTTTTTTTCCCACTCATTGCAAAACATGAGGATTTAGATCACTAGACATGACTGGCAACTTTTGTTTCCCCCTCAGGCATTCCACTATCCATATCCTTGGCGCTAACGTGCATCCAGGGCTTTGATCACTGGCAGTTCAGAAAGGCAGTTCCAGGTTATAAGACGCTACTAGACAGAACTGAACAAGTAAAAATCAACAGAACACAGATTTGCTGAACAGTCTGTAAAGGATGTATATAAACCATGTTGAGACTGGATAAGTTTTACCAGCTTCCTTTTTTTCTAGATTTTCTAATTGCGGCTATAGAAAGTATTGTAAATGTAAGTAAAGTCGAATAAACAGCAAAAATAAATATCTCTTTGACGAGGTACAAAAGTTAAAAGACCCAAAGATTAGTGAATTGTAGCATCTGTTAAACACTTTGTTGTGATATGTATCGATTTATGCAGAATCTGTCTTGATATTTGGATTTGTTATGACGTAAGGCCACACATATGAGAATGTTTTATAGTAACTGAAAAAATTATAGATAACATTGTTGGAAGATAAATATTATTATGCAATCTGTCGAGCGGGCACATCAGCAGGTCAAATCTTATGTTTGAAAAAAAGCAAAGCTTAAAGCTCCAGTGAGGAACTTTTGGTTTGAGTTGGTTTTGGTGCCCCACTGTGGACATATTAATGCCTCTTATCTCTTTCCTGATTTTTTCTATACATATGTAAGTAGTCTTTGTGTCAAAGTAACATCTTTCTGCTTTCTTGTCAAATGGATCACTCATTGAGAATCTTTGCAGTGGAAAATGTAAATAATAGCTGTTTTTGCAGTATGCAGTTCATCACTTCATCTGACACCTACCCTGCGGCAGCAGATTCAGACATGAAAAAATAAAACCACAGAAATAGTCTATCTCGTCACTGATGGTCACGTTTTGCTTTTGTAGCGCATGAAAAGGCATCAGTTTTAATTTAAAATCTGTTTCATAACTCGCCAAAAACTCAAGACATTTAAATAGACCTGATCTGTCGTTGATAAGCACTACAGCTCATACAATGACTACAAATATATGTGAGAGAAAAGCCGGGATTCAAACCCAACAGTTGTACATGTATGGTGGTTAAAAATATGCTCGTGTACCAACACAATGTGGTTTCTGAGGTTGGGACCAAATCAGTGAAGATATGATGAGGTTTTCCAAACCAGCAATGTTCTTCATGTCTGTCAAAGTGAGAGGGGACCTGAACTGAACAATCAGGCCTGGGGAGGTGGATGTGTCTCTTTTCTTGGGCTCGTAGAGTTTATTCAGAGGGTCAGTTGGCCTCTTGAGTGATTTTTTTTTCCCCCGGGGAAGCCATGTGAGTTTGTTTTTTGAATCTAAAGGGGCTTGTTGTAAGTAAAATTCACATGAAGCCCATTTACCGGGTGCACTATCGGCACTGTCTGCATTTTGGGAAAGTTCTCTGTGGCCAGAGTCCATTTGCAAGTCCCAATCAGCTCCACTGCCAGAGTTTTTAGGATGATCTGAGCCAGTTCCTTCCCTACACAGCTCCGCACACCACCACCGAACGGCACGTAGCTGAACCGAGCCGACCGACTCTCCTCGCGCTCTGGGCCAAACCGTTCTGGATCAAACAGCTCAGGGCTCTGGAAGACCGCTGCCGTCTCATGGGTGTCCCTGATACTGTACATAACACTCCAGCCTTTGGGGATCTGGTAGCCCTGTGAAATGAGGAAGGGGTCAATAAATAAAAAAGTCAAGGAAGGTTCTATTTTCACAAACAATAGTTTTGAGCATCTTTTTGTATTAAAATCAGTTGTGGATCGTAAAATATCTTGTTGTCTCTTTCCAATAAACTCAAAGACAAGGGGGAAACTACAAAAGGAAACAGAAGAAATGGAGGTGACGTGGAAAACCTGTTTTAGAGTGCTGTTTAACTTTCATTTATGACAAAAGTTAAAGTTATATATTTTTGTATCACTCGAAAGAAATTTGAATCTTCATCTTTACATTCCTTCATCCTATAAAGTCAGACTTCCTTATAATCTCATCCCAATTAAGTCTGCCAATTAAGGATGTGCATGTTTACCCTTCAGAAAGTCACACTTCAACAAACAAACACAATGACGTTCTCGATACCATAATTAAATACCATAAAGAGTTGCAGAAATCGTGACATGTGCTCTCCTATAATTGCTCTGCGTGTCAACTGTCTTTTTCACCACAATCTCTGTAAATTGGGGGCACACTGAGGACAAGGAAGGCCCATTCCAGGGCACGGGATAAGGTCATGACGGGTCCTGTCAGGCAAGCAACACATAAACTGAGCAAAACATCAAACTAAAGCAATATCTGAATTGAGACTATTATTCTAAACTTGACATTTTGAAAACTGTGGGCCCTGAATGCCAAGGAGTAATTTTAAAGATCCTGAATCTGTATTGCTTATAGATTAACAAAATTGCCCACAATGGCCGAAGGGGAATTAAAAGAAAAGCTCACATCCCCATATCTACACAAAATGTCCCATGATGCCCTTTGACAACTCTTAGAGAATGGGCCTGAAGTTTTTGAGTTTGTCTGTGGGAGTTTTGTTTATTAATAAAAATAATGATAATAATAATTAAATTCAGACAAAACATGAGCCTATATAAAAAAAAGGGTATATTCCTGCAAGAGAGTTGAACTTACGTCTAATTCAAACGTCTGCAGGGCTGTCCGGTAACCACCGGAGACTGGCGGCAGGAAGCGGAGAACCTCTTTGACTACACAGTCGACATAGCGAAGCTGGCTCAGCTTGTCCAGGCTCAGGTAGGGTATTTGAGAATGGGACTGTGGGAAACCATCACTGTGATTCTGGAGATTCTGGCAGTCTCCGTTTAGCAGGCAGGTTATCTCGGTGTCAGCAGCGTCCTCCTCCTTCTGTTTGGTGACATCAGACGGACTGGGACTGCTGTGGGATTCGTAGCCGAGGCCCTCTGCTTCCAGCTCGACTTTTGCTCTCTCCACCACTGCTGGATGACGAAGAAGCTGAAGGACCAGCGATGTGGACGCGCTGGCTGTGGTGGAGTGAGCAGCGAAGATCAACTCTACTGCTGTTTCCTGCAAGGGGAGAAAGGAATAATTGGAGTGGTCAAATTACATTTTATTTTACAGGTTCAAAAATACATTTACATACAAATGAACAGCTGTGATGGACTAGACAAGAAATAAAAAAACACATTGTTGGAAACTGAGAATGTTTATACAAGGTCAAACCATTTTGAGCCATAAAGAAAACTTCATAAAGCAGGACCTGACTATTGATGTTTTAATGATGGGGGTTTGTTTTTGTAACTTTTAGTAGTACATTTATCACTGAGTCAAAGAGCTCACATCTTAACCTGGAGCCCTCAAGGAAACCTAACCTCGCTGAGTCAAGTCTTCTAAAAACATCTGTAGCATATTTACAGGCTCAAAATTTCACCCGCCCAAAGCTCTTTTCCACCTATCCTTAACAACAACAACGCTTAACCTTCATTTTTGACATTTCCAATTCCACCTCACCTTTGAGCCACTCACTAATCAGTAAATCAAGCTGAAAATTGGTCAGAATTCATCATTAAGTTTTGTACATCAGTATCTGGATCATTTGTAGTCTGATCCCATCATAACTACGTCATTCTGGTACCTTGAGCTCCTGGATGCTAAACTGGTGTCCGTGCTCCTTTGCACTGGACAGCATGTAATCGAAGGCATCGTGGTAATCCCCATCAGCCTGCGGTCGCTCCGTCTTCTCCTCAATGATTTTCTCCATGTTGGTGTGCAAGATCTCTCTAGCTTTTATTCCCTGGACACAAAACATTATTATTGGTTATTATTGAATAGTATTATTTCAATTGACAAATAAAGTTTTGGATGCATCAAATTCCACATTTGGTGCTTGAATTCTTTATAATAAAAAATGTATTCAACATTTATCTATTTGTATAAATAAACAAAAATCCCAAAATTATATCACAACTTGTGTCCATTTCACTTAACTGTATTCCAGTTTTCTAAATTGAACAAAACAATTGTGCAGCAGATATAATGGTATTTTCTGTGTACTGTTTTTCCCCCACCTCCATTCATGTCCTTTTTGGTTCTCCAAAATATTCCCAAATTGAAAAATGTAAGGGAGGTTTATTTCAAAATCATGTGATGTGACATTTCATGATCCCTCATACACTTAACCTTATTTTATGAATGCCTTGAGCAGTGTAGACTGTTAAACAGGCTCCTGAATGTAGTATTGACCCTGTAGATTTGGACAGATCTGGCACCTCCAGGTAACAGATTAAAGCGTGATTAAAGTGTTTCTAAAGTTGTCTTTTATTAGGTTTGAACTGGGTCCTTCATCCCCTCACCTTGCGTAGCCCACTGAGCGGAGCATCTATTGGCAGCGAGAAGAGGTTGTTCATGAGCTGCTCAAATATTTGGGCCAGGTAAACTATCCGCTCCTCCTCCATCTGCAGACCCAGCAGGACCCTGATGGCGATACGGAAGGTCAGAGACCTGGCAGCGCTGTAAACATCGATGGCGCCCGGCTCTGAGCACCACTTGGCGATTTCAGACTTGACGACGTCCTGCAGCCGGGGCAAGTAGGACTCCAGAGCCCCCCGGCTAAACACTTTAGCCAGGATCTTGAAAGGGTTGAGGAAACAAAGAGAGGGGAGTCATAAAAAGTTATAACCTTGTACACGACAGTCAACACCTTTAAGTAAATACTCCTTAAAGAGGAGCACAGGATGGAGGAAAAGGAAAGATGTAGAAGATATAGGCGATCAGACAGGACAGGGCAGAGAGGATGGGGTTGAGTAGGATAAAAATTCTGCAATCAATAGGTTTGGACATGCACTGAAGTCTGCAAAACTAAATTTAAGGTTCTTAAAATTACAATTACAATTTCTATCAATTGTGTTGCAATGGTAAAAAGCCAGGGGCCCAAATGCCAATGCTCATAATGGCCAAACATGCCAATTAGAAACCCTTCATTTGTCAGAAATTGCACTGAAGTTGCGGTTTTTCATATATGCATGACATCAACTTGTATTGAATGAGTAACTGTATTGCACATTCTGAGACATTTTGGCTTTGCCTCTAATAAAATGAAGTTATGCATCATAGTTTCTCTTAATGTCAACTAAAGGAAAGCCACTTTACATTGCTAATGCAAAATAATTATTTTTTATTATTATTTATTTAATTTATTTAGCCTACTAAACTGTTCTGATTGATATGTTCTTACTTTTCTCTTCTTTTTGTGAAGGTCACCGATGGAGTTGACCAGGGTGTTGGGTCCCAGGATGATGCGGGTGCTCTGGGGCCACTGGGTGCACACCAGGCTGTGCTCGCCTAGCAGGATCTTGCGGATGTTTTCTGCTCCCGTTACTCTGATGACAGGCTTTCCGAGGAGGTGGGTCTTGAACACGTTGCCATGACGCTCTCTGCGCGAGATGTGGAAGTTGGATCCCTGAAGCACGAAGAAGAAAATTATCAAGGGGTGTTGCATTTAATGACAAAATGAATGTGCTCAATATTAATAGCCTAAATGGATTTATAATAATTTAGGGAAACAAATAAAATCCGTGATGTAGGCCTAACTTCCCTCTTCAAAGGTCCATCGCCTATAGTCGAAATTGTTTGTTTTCTGGTTTGCAAAATATCTCTAAACTCGATAATAGCTTTCAGTCACATTTGTTAAAAAAAAAAAAAAAAATCCATTGGAAACAAGGAATAACTTAAGTTCTATGAATTGATTGCCCAGATAAAATTGAACAGCGAGTTCAAAAGAATGTATAATGTAGCCTAAATTGGAACCCCGCAAAAGCGCCTAACACGTCCATCACGTTCGTGTACCGAAGAGCTGAAACTGAGGAGCGGACGGATAGCTGAAGTTATCGAGAGATGAGGGGATGAGAGAGCGCATTCCTCACTGTTGAGGAGACAGAAGGAACGGGAGGGAGGGAGAAAGGTGGAAGAATTGGGCAGAAAACGTCTGTTTTTACTCCGCAAGAAGGTATTAGACAGAGAGCATCAAGTCCGCACATGTCGCATTAACAACACAACTCAGCATGCACAAGAATCTGCCTTTCAAAGTTTCCCGCGCTTCTAGATAGGCTACATCATCAATAATATGATTTTTTTTTTTTTTTAATGCTCTGCAGCCCTCCGGTGTTAAGCTTGTTTAATTTGTGAAAGTAAGACAGCGTTACAGAAAAACAATAGGTTTGAAACAGGAGTCAAGAATGACATGCACAGACGCGCAAGAGGCTGATAACCTATTTTAGAACGCTTGTAAAATATCGAAAACTAGGCTACATCAGCCCAGACGTGTCAGACATCCCTCTCTCACCTGAAAGAGCCAGTGGAAAGTCTCTCCGACCAGCGGCCAGCCCATTGAGCCATTCGGCAGCGGCAGACTGCTCTCTTTGTCCCGGGTCAAGCTCCAGCGGAGGCTCCACAGCTGCCGGGTCAGTGCCAGCAGGAAGAGCGCAGAAAGGACCGAGGTGAGCGCGGTGGCTAAGGCCGACAGCACCCCAAACTGGGCCAACGGGAACATCTCCTCCGAGCTGGTCCACTTCCCAGCATCCACCTGTGCCAGGGCTTAAAGGTTCTTCTTTCCCGTTCAAACCCCGTCTCGTTTAAATGCTGCGTAAATGTCCTCCGTCTTGTATTTTCTTCTCTCTCCGGTAAACTCTGTTAAAAAATAAATGTAGATTTTTTTATTTTTTTTTGCTGAGTATGTGTTGGTTCACCCTCAGCTCCACCAGAGAAAGCAGAGACAGAGGGAATCTAAACTCTTTCTGAACTCATCTCTGAAGGCAGCCAATGGCTGCGAGCCGTTATAAGCTGTTATTACAGCTGGTTAGACAATAATAACAGTAATCATGCAGACTGGACCCCAGTGTCCTGATTCATTCAGAAATATGCAATGGAGATGCACTTCGTTAAAATGTGGCCACTGCGGGGAGGATTACATCGTTACTATTATTGTGTTTGGTTTATTTTCATCCCTGCTCGTAGTCTCGTGCCAAAAATCCAAGTTCGTTGAAATAAAGAAATAATTAAAAAAAATATTAAAGAGTTCTCATAGACTCAAGCAGAGATTATATAGAGGCTATTCTCCAACATAATCAAACAGGCATCATCCAACCTGATGGATGTACAGACTCATATCTGACTGTAGAAGAAACGTGCTTCTCATTGAGGAAACTCCCCTTCATTCCGCTGCTGCTCGTCCAAAATGAGGAGTAGCTGTCAACTATTCCAAATAGTTTTACAGGTTTACATGCGCCGGCTTGTCTATTAGGTTATGCGCCTTTATAGGTACAGTTGAGGGGGCTCAGTCACCCCCGGGCGGCCAGAGGTTTATAGAGCAATGGCAATAAATCAGGTTTTAAAAAGCAGCAGAAGAAAGGAGGATTTGAATACAGTAGGCTACAGAATGTCGCGGATTAACAGGCTGGTAAAGTAAACTATAGGTGGGGTGGCAAACGAAGAGGATGAAAGCGAGTTGTTAGTCACTTTGTTTTCCAGTTAAAGGTGAAAAAGAAAGGAAAACTTACCTCCAAGCAGCGCCCCGAGAGAAATCCGTGTGCGTTAAAGCAAAGTTTCTGTCTTCTCTTCTCTTCCAAACCTGAGACTATTACTCCTCAGTTAGCGGGCTGCTGGGGGCTTTATAGAAAAGGCTGCACGGCATGATCCACCTTCATCGGATGACGTTGGTCTGAATATGTTAAAGAGGCTCGTTCATTCACCGCGCGGACCGGAGAAAGGGGATTTAAAAAAAAGGAAAAAGTTTGGAGATCAGATCAGAGACGCAGCGGTGCGATCTGAAAGAGAGAGAAAGAGTGGAATCAGGAGAGAGAGAGAGAGAGAGGGAGAGAGAAGGATTGTGTGTGTGTGTGTGTGTGTGTGTGTGTGTGTGTGTGTGTGTGTGTGTGAGAGAGAGAGAGAGAGAGAGGTGGAGATAGAGAGAAAGGGAGAAAATAGAGTGAGAGAGAGAGGATCAGATGGCAGCGGATGGAGGAAACTCACAGGTAGCCAATCAGCCGGGAGCCGTTCAGAGTTTGGCACAGGTTTGCGGCTTCAGATCAACGCATCCCGATCTGCAGCCTGCTTTAAACTTCAGGAAGGAGCGGGGAAGAAGAATAAAAAAAAAAGAAGAAGAAGAAATGCATCCTTCTGGGAATAGAGTCTAGATGTCAGAATACAACTTTTATTTTTGCTCATTATTTTGGACACGGAGAGACAGGTGTCGAGGAAAGCATTTATAGGCTATGTTGAACGTATTAGTCGTAGTTAAACAGTCTATAGTCTGACTAACATTTTTTTGATTAGCCTTAATAAGTAAAATGTGAAATTAGGGGCAAATGAGCAGAATGGTTCTGTTATTTCGGTCATGTCGTCTTTGTTGTTTTCATTGCAGATGAATCGTGACGAAAAGCCTTTCTCATTCATGAAACGAACCAACTGAGAGAGGCCAGGACTACACTTTGATGGTCACATTTATTATGGAGCCTAGATATCTATAGCAATGCATAAGTAAGGGGAACACGTTTGGATGTTCTACCTAAGGTAGAGGCAACAGTTATGAAAAACAATGACACCTGGAAAGAAAGTACAACCCAGAAACGGACAAATCTGAATGAAATTGATTTTGCAACCAAATTTGAAGAGGCCCGATATTCGCCTGTGAAGTATTTTCGAGTCTACTTTGAGTATGCCACACAGGGGGGGTTAATCCGACTTAAATCCACTGACCCGACACATATTGATGTAAGAGCCTTATTTTATCGAACTTAAACAAATGATCTGGGATCATTTCTGTCGAATATTTGCGTCGGTGAACTGAACTGAGCGCTGTTGTGGTCGAGGTGTTGAGGCCGGGCTGACTCGTGTATTTGGCTGTTTGTCAACGTTTCGCTTCACAAACAAAAGCGTTAATTAACATCCTTTGGATCTGACGCGTTCAGTTTATTGTGTGATCTTCAGGCCTTGAATTTTGGCCATTAGAGCTGGATGTGTTGATCCGGACCAATCAGCGCCACGCGCGCGCACACCTCCAGCTGTTATCGGCGTGATTTCACAGTGAGAGACTTTTACTTTTGATCCGTGTTGATTGGAGAGTTTGTTAGTGATTACGGCCGAGGACTTCTTGTCTTAACTAAAACATTGGGGTGAATGAGCTCCGACAGAGCAGGCTGATGGAAACACAGTGACACTGTTGGTTTTCACACCTTCAATTGAAAGGACGATTTGTTCTGTTATTGAGTTCAGTCACACGGATCACACTGGGCCTCATTTATCCATCAGCTGCTAGCTGCAGATGTGATTCAGGTCCAACATTGACACATGGTGTCAGATATAAAATCTATTTTTCGATTAACTTAGACTGTACATTACTATTTTGAAAGTACCAAAGCTTAAATACAATCAAGTGTAGCCATAATGTTCCAGAGAAACGTCCAAATATTGAATACAAAATAATAAAGGAAATAACATGCTGTGTATTTTTTGTTTGCTGGTTTGTTTGTTTGTTTTCTTTTCACCATATTTGGTCGTTAGGTTTTTTTTTTTCTTTGCTTCTTCATGTCTGAACTTGATCATTAAAAGTTTCCATATTTCACTCACAGAGCCGTAAATCTCCTGCTGACATTCAATCCTTTTGAGCTGTGGGGATTCCCCTCCAAGAACACGATTCATACATCAAAATAAGTCTGAGAAACATGATCTTTCATATGAGCTAATACTGTTGAAGATAGCAGCAGGTTCCGTTCCCAGAGACGATCTGTAGGATGGAAATAAACATTTGAGACTAAATATCCTAAAGACGAATTAGATGGCGTCCAAGTGAATATTATATAATAATAATAATAATAATAATTATTATTATTATTATTATTATTATTATATTATTATTATTATTATTATTATTATTATTATTATTGTATTATTATTATTATTATTATTATTAATAATAATAATAAAAGTAATAGAATTGGTATTATTATTTTGTTGGACTTTGTTGGTGTTAACCCACAATAAGATTTTTATTTCTTCTTATTTGATTAAATAATAATGTTTCATTTATTTTGTTGTAGCTCTGCTGCATATAGAGAGTGTATACAGTATATTCATATCATTTCATGTTGAGGTTTTAAATGTATGATTATTTTGATTGAAATGGGTGGGCCCTGACTTGTATATAAATGCAGCTTTTCTATAGATGATCATAATATAGCTGCAGAGATCAGTTTGAAGCACATTTCTAAATGAAATTGCTTTTAAAGAGCATTGTGAGATGAAAGGAAAAAAAACAGTTGCATGTTTTCTGCTAAACTTTCTCCTTCACGGTCATTCATTTTAGAAGGAGTAGCCCATCTAACATTTTTTTATTCAAGAATAATCTTGAGTTACTCCTACTTCACCTGAGTTTTAGTTTGTACGACTGTATACTCTTAACTTTGTTTTTTTTTTTTGCTCTTGATGTGTTTGATCACTTTACCTTTGTTTTGTTGTATTTTGCATTTTCATATTTGTTGTATTCTCGCAGTTAAAAGCTTCATCTATGTATTTGGTGAAATTCACAAACTATGCCTTGGCCTTTAGTTTTTGCGCCTGCTTCAAATGTAAAGTGATAAAGACATGGATGCATCTTACACTAGAAATTAATAATTTTTATTTTTAATTTATATTTATTTTGTTACATTAATATGATGTTGGTGTTTACTCTAACACCTGAGATGAATTTAAGCACGACGTAATGACACTTTATTCTAAATGCAAAGCTTAATGTTTGTTATTTCTACGTCACAAGCTGAATAATGTGAACATAAGGAATTCAAAATATCTTAATTCCTTATTGAAGCATTAGCATCAACCAAGTATGCTCCCTCTCTTTTTATCATCATTAGAACTTGTGTCAGTAGATAAAAGCATCCTGCTCTCAGCAAGTTGGATTCAGACCAAACTGATGACTCAGATTCATATTATTTTCCTTTCATTTCATCCATTTCGAAAAAACAAGCAGCACCTCTCTCTCTCTTTCTCTTTCTCTTTCTCTCTCCTTAACGCCTGCCCTCCTCTCAGAGTGTTTCCTTTTTGTGTTTCCCTCCTTCTGCCTCCCTGTCTCCCTCCACCCTCCGCCCTCCCACCTCCCCCTCATCCTTCCCTTTGTGATAAAATTCAGTCCATACTTGTGTCGAGCGTTCCTGCCTGTCAGCTCCCATCAAACACAGTCTGATCATTAATAAGAGCAGCAGGAGGAGCAGCAGGAGGAGCAGTGTGACGTCAGCGCTCTCCTGCAGTCAGGTCATTCAGGGGTCCAAAGAGACGATCAGTCAAGAGGGAAACTTCTTTTTTATTAGGACTTTGTAGTTAAAGTAATTCTTTCACTTACAATAATATAACATCTCACTTTCAGCGTGGCAGTATTGATAATATGTTCAGATTTAAGGACATTTTCCTTATTGCAGCATGATAAATGATTAATGTTCTTCCCTTCAGCAGCCATAAGACATTTAAATAAAAATATTTTATAAATTCATCAGCTAACAC